ACGAGGCCCTGCAACCGACTTATTTCCCCGCCCCGCTTTCTTGGCTTCGTTTATTTTCAGTTATGCTACGTTAGGGCGCAAGGGCGTGTGCAGAGAGCCGTTGCGAGCGTAGCAGGAATAGCGGGCTCGGAGACGCAGCTTGCGGGTCGGGAATTCGTCTTCCCCTTCGTTGCAAAAAGCTTCTCGTGCGATTGTTTAGGGGGCAGAGCCAGCTGCGCGCTCCTCAGAAAACGGGGGGACGAAGACAAGATTGATTCCCTGCTTTTTAAAGGACCGGTGCTTGCAGAGTTTTAAAGGTGGGATCAGCCGAGAGGGCAGGGGAGGGAGATCGATATAAGGCACGGTTCACACAACATTCTAAACCCAAGTTAATGAAACATAACAGCGGTGTTCATTTAACAGGCGGTGCCCCCCAAAATAAATGTATATTAAACTTGTAAGCTACCAGACTCTCAGTGACTCTATGGCAGGGTTATTCAACAATTGACAACTTTAAGACGTGTGGACTTCAACTCCCAGAATTCCCCAGCCAGCCTGGCTGGCTGGGGAATTCTGGGAGTTGCAGTCCACACGTCTTAAAGTTGCCAAGGCTGAGAAATAATGCTCTGTGCTGTCAGCTTGGCTTACACAACAATCAGAGACGATGCCCAGGTCTCCATAATATGCTTAAATGTTAATTATCCAACTCCACATTAATATTTGCATAACATAATTCTCCCCTGCCCGCTTTTAAAATCCTTTGATCTACTCCTGCTGTTTCCTAGGGCAGTCCCTGAAGTGGCTTTCCAAGGGTGGCCTTGTGGCTTAATCAAGTTTTGGACTCCTGTTTTAATGCACTCCCCACTTTTCATATATCCAGTTGAACCCCATTGCTGGGGCAGGGCTTACAAGGAGGAAGAGTGTTTAAGAAACCTCTTAATCGACTGCATAAGGGGCCTGATGCAACATTCAACACACACAGGTCAGATTCTCACATGATTTGCACCATTCAGAGCTCGCTATCCAGGGGGTTGTGCGGCAATCCGGTTGGTTCAGGGCCGGGGAATTCTGGGAGTCGAAGTCCACACATCTTCAAGTTGCCAAGGTTGAGAAACACTGTCCTAAATGCTGCTTAATGTGTTTATTGATGCAGTTGGTATTGCAGCCTTTGATGTGAATGCCACGAGCACATTAAATTTTCTCTTTTCTTTGCTCTGGAATTAACTATGCGTAGTGTTTATTTAAAACTGCGGCTTGCCTATTCAAGCTCGTAGATTCTGTTGCTAAGAATCTAAATTCATTAAATGAATTCGCAAATTATTTTTTGCTAAAGAGAAAAAATATGGAGGAGTTATGAACACAGGGTCATGGAAAGTGTTTTTTTTTTTTTAAGAGAGTTTTACGCTAAGTGCAGAACAAAACAGCCTCCTCAAATCATTTGTCCCAGAATGGTTTGAGTGGTTTTGGTTCTGATGGGGAGGGGAAAAAAATGAAATGCTTTGCTGTAGTGGCCATAAATGTCGATAAAATGAAATGCTGAGTACTTCTTATCTCCCAACATATTTTTGTGGGTTTTAAAATATTGTATTCTTATATCAGAGATCGAAAGTAACAATTAAATAGAAAATCTTCCAGCCTACCAGTATAGTGTTTTTTTAAAAATCCTCTTGGCCAATTTTTCTGTAGTTGGATGATAGATAGCATTCAGCATAGATGATTCTTCCATCTACTTTGTGGCTCGAATATTTTTTTTATTTAAGGAAGTTAGGGTTTGTTTTTAATTCCAGTTGTTCCCTGTGCTTCAGATTTTGTTTTCCTGGAGTACAGAACACTCAAACTTCCAACACATCCAGTAGACTGTTTCATTCCAAAATTAGAATTTTTTTTGTTGGTTGTTGGTTGGTTGTTTCATCCAATCCCCTAATGTTTCTCTTATGTGGTTCTAAGGAAAATAGAAAATAAATCCAGTTGAAGACAATAGAAATGGCTTGGTTCAAACATAGTTTTAAACTATTGATTTAACTACTAGCAAGCTACAATTAACTTCGTTCACATATGATACCGAAGGCCTTTGCCTACTATTGAGCTAAAGAGCTACCTACCCACCCTTAAGTAGATGGGCACCAAACCACACCACCACCACATTTGTTGTCCATGTTGCTAATCTCTGGGGGGCCTCTGATGCATATGTTTTGAGTTACCAATGAACAGTGCTGCTCCAACTTGTGACTTTTCCCCCTGTCCTCACTACTGTCTCTTTCAACTTACCACCAGCCAGTGGTGAAAACATTTACTGGTAACGGCAACCTAGTGGGAGTGAGGTAGGTCCCCCTTCAAGGCTCTGCATGTCCTCCTTAAGCTAGTTTGTCTGCCTCTCCTCCTACACCCTATTTGGACACCTCCCAAATTAAAATAATATGAAATACAAAAATATGCCAGAGGCACAGATGGCTCCAGAGAAGAGCAAGGCAGGCCAGTAGAGTGAAAGTGATTAACAGCTGGGCAGCCAAGTCTTTTATGGGGGAAGGTGTGTGTGAAACTGACAAGCACAGGGAAACTGGCAAAAAAGGAACAAAAGCCCACTTCAATGTCCCTCAATATTTGGGGGGCACTACAATGAGGTAAGGCGGGCTGCTGCATCTACAGGTAAAGGTACATTTCAGAATAGTGTTAAATAGTGAAAAGCACCACCTCTTCTTATCTCTATCCACACACCCCAGTACATCTCTGCTCATACCTCAAAGGGGTCAACTGACCTCACCTCCAAGTTCATGGCTTTCAAAACAAAAGCTAATGTGCCTATGCATGAAAATATGTACTTCCTAGTTTTCATCTGTGTGCTTTTAGCAACTCTATTTAATTTAGAAATTCAGTTTAAATAGAAATTCAGTGCAGCTTATGCTGGCTGGAAATTCTGAGACTTCGAAGGCACCAGATTGGGAAGACTGTTATATCCCAGCAGCCCCATGTGAGTTTCAGGCCTATCCACCATTCCCAGTATTTAAATCATGTTCCACATTACAGTATGTCTTTCGGTCACAATCTATTGCAACAGCTGTCTCTCTGCAGATCTTGCTGAAAGATAAAAATTGAGGGACCTCAGCTTTTTTGCCACCATGTTCCACCTACTCACCCACCCACCCACCGCTAGCTAAACCCATTAATTAAGCAATCAGCATGACTAATCAAAACCATTTATCAAAGATTATGACTGGGACTTTCTAATTGGATTTTAATGGGCATTGCCCCTTGCAAAAAACTGTTCTCTGCTGATAGCATTATCTAGATCTCCACACATCTGCTTATGAGAGCAAAGAATTTCAGGCAATTTGCCTGTGATCAAGCAATTTCTGTGCTATCTACCTCTGTCAACCTGCAATCTTAATTAAACATCATTCTCATATTGCTAGTTGTGACACAGTTATATTGTTAATACTCCAAGTCTTCTGTTCTGGGGTTTCTTACAGAAATCTGGCCATGCTGTCATTCTCTTATACCGCCTTTGTCAACCTTGACGTTCTCCGATACATGGACTTCAGTTCCCAGAATTCCACCACCAATGGGGCCATGCCAGAGAATTCTGGGAATCAGTGTTCCCATGTCTGAAAGGTAGTAAATGTCGGGGTAGGTATTGGCAATGGAGGGTTTGAATTTCTTTGCTCAAGGTGATCTGAACTGCCCCTACAAGTAGACAGAGTTTCCAAATAATGCAATCCTTTTGCTACCCATAGCAGACAAAGAGAAATGGAGAACTTTGCTGTCCCTTGTGGCTATTCCTTCCTATTTATAAATAAATATCAACTTAAGTTTCCCATAGGCATTGTTCTCAATGAAAAGCTTCTTTAACATCCTGTTTCTTCGAAGAGTGAAACGAGAGTTGTACTTTAAAAAAAAAAATGAATATTTTTACTAAGCTGATTGGTTTCCTAGCCACTCTAAAAGGTGTGGACGCCAGAGCTGAAATGCTTAAATTCTAAAATTTAACAATTTTGTGGCCTGAAGCGTTTTACTTTTGTATGCCCATCATTTCTCAAACGGCCTTAAGTTTTGCAACTATTTGGCTTGGTAGGATTTGCCACACGTTTACACCCAGATCTTTAGTTTCTCTTTTGCAACGCCAGCTCGCCAGCCTCTGCACGGCAGGGGTTCACTGATCTCATAGATTCTCATTACGCACTTGCATGCACTTCCACATCGGCGTGTACAGGTGTACTGATAGACGCACTGAGACTCCAAGACACCATAAAACAGCTCCTCCATAAACATAGTGTTAAAGAGCAGGAGACACAGAACACGCAGAAAGGTTGGAAGATTTATCTCAGACAGCTATTAACACGGAATATATTAATCCATGGTACTCTTCTAGCCTCCTCCTCTCCCAAGGCACAGCCACCTTTGTAGCCAATTGAGAGTCATGATAATAACCAAAATCTGCTTAGCCAGCAAAGGCAGAGATAACTTAAAAGTGCAAGTATCTGTCTTCCCCCCCCCTTGCCCCCCCCCAAGTTCCTTTTCACCCTGAACTTTTCTGCCAGCTTGCAGGAATGCATCGTCCTCTGTCGAATCGTTACCAGGTTGACTCTTTCGGCAAAGATTTTCTGCTGCGGTGTAGCATTGCTCCTAATGATTTTATGGGCCTGTGCTAGATATTAGTAGCCACTGGGGACATTCTCTCCCACCCACCCCGCTCGAAAGAAGCACTGTGTGATACAAAGCTGGCTTGACCGTACAAATGCTGAGCCAGAAGCACAGATTGACCAATTTTTCCCATCATGCCACACATATTTAACTGTTGTACCAATTTGTTTCGGGGAGTTGCACAATGTTTCTTCACCCATCCAAGTGCAGGGTGGCTGACAATGCGGAAGACGATGTTCGCTTCTTGCATTAAGCAAACCATGGTTTCTTGAAGGAGCACAATTGCTGGGTGAGCGCTACATGCTAAACCATAAATGATGGCTTACAAATTACAACAGCTGAATCCACACAACATGCTAAGCCCTCTTATCATGGCAAGAAGCTATACAAACCACAATCAGTAATCCCATTCAATAATCCCGCATTACCAGACGTGGCTTCAGGAAGCGAAATGAGGCTTCTGCTCATCAGACCATTTTGTTTTTGTCACTGTTCCCATCACTTGCGGTCCTGGGTTTCTCCTGTTGCAAAGGGGAGGTTCTGTACAAAGAGAGAAAGCCAGGAAAAGTTCAGAATGAGGCCGTCACCTCGTCAGTAGATGGTTCAGTTCATTCTTCATGAAGATCTGAAACCATACTTGTGAGCCTTAGAGAAATTCACAACTATGAAGATACTCTTTCTTAACTGTTTGTGGTTTACCTCATCCAGTGTTTCTCAGCCTTAGCCACTTTAAGATCTGTGGACTTCAACTCCCAGAATTCCCAGCCAGCATGGGGGTTGAAGTCCACAGATCTTAAAGTGGCTAAGGCTGAGAAACACTGACCTAGTCTATTAGTAGCCCATGTCTTGAGTAGGGTGAAGTCCACAGATCTTAAAGTTGCTAAGGTTGAGAAACACTGACCTAGTCTATTAGTAGCCCATGGCTTGAGTAGGGTGCACAGTCTGTTTTCAATGCCTTGGATAGGGCTGTTTGCTTTTATTTATTTAAATGCATTCCCTAGCATGCCATCCACAGACCAGCGACAACCTTCCACTTGAAAAACATTGCACATTCTAAACAAGATTTGCCCAAGTTGTCTGTTTGATTCATACAGCTATAGAGCAATTCCCCTCCGGTGAATCAGCAAATACACAAAATGCTGCCGCTGTGGAAGAGTGTTGTAATAGTTCTTGCACTCTCATTGCAGGATTAACTAATCATGGTAACCTTGCAAGATAATTATCTTTTCTGAATCTGGGGTTGAGAGGGATTATCTGAATAAATGCCAACAGGTCAAAGTTTCTAGTTGGGAAACTCAGATCAGGCAAATATCTCAGCCATTGGGGCAGTGTTTCTCAACCTTGGAAGCTTTCAGATGGGTGGACTTCAACATGGTGGCTGGGGAATTCAGGGAGTTGAAGTCCACCCATCTGAAAGCTTCCAAGGTTGAGAAACACTGTCCTAGAAGCTTCTTACGGTTGAGAAACACTGTACTGGGAGATCCTTTCTTAAGAGAACAAGTGTATATTAGGACTTTGGGGTAAAAGGGATCCTATATTTCTTCATTGCATCAGTGAGCTCAAATTTCAGGTGCTGAAATGTGTTTCAAGAAAACAAAACAGTAGTCAAGACACTCCAACAGGTTATGAATGACATTCCAGACAGAGAAAGAGATGTCGGCTCCATAGAATCTAAACAACTCTATTCATCTAGCTTTAAAAATAGTTGCTCTTCCATTCTTGGGTTTTGCAAAGCTGTTTTCTTCCTGCATCACCTCCATAGAACTCCAGTTTATTGGCTGGGTTCACCCTCTGCTTTAAGCCATATTTTAACCTTGGTTTCTTGCATAAATCCACATGGTGGGCTTCACACCTTAAATAAACCCACCAAGTCTGGTTTACAGCCTTAAGGCTGGGTTCACACACAGTGTGAAACTAGCAGGGGCAGGGGCGGGTCTTGATAACTGGGGGAGGGGAAGGTGTGCAGTAAGAAAGTAGACGATTTCAAGTGAGTACCCTCAGGGGGGCCCTGCACTATAGTCAGGGAACTAATGTTGATGAAGATTCTCAGTCATCCAGGTGGAATTATCTGGAGGTTGAGTCATGGCAACTGGACTTCTTTTCTTTTGGTTAGATACCTAATGTTGATGAAGATTCTCAGTCATCCAGGTGGAATTATCTGGAGGTTGAGTCATGGCAACTGGACTTCTTTTCTTTTGGTTAGATACCTAATGTTGATGAAGATTCTCAGTCATCCAGGTGGAATTATCTGGAGGTTGAGTCATGGCAACTGGACTTCTTTTCTTTTGGTTAGATACGTTTTGCTGCTTGTCCAAGCAGCTTCTTCAGTCTAGTAAGTTGGTTGGGGAGACCCCATAAATGTCTTCCAGGGTGGCTGCGTTTCTCACAAACATGATGGCCTCATTGAAAGGACAATAGGAGATGTGATTAGTCTAATCACTACACTACACTAATCACATCTCCTATTGTTCCTTTAACGAGCCCATCATGTTCCTGAGGAACTCGGCCACCCTGGGTAACATTTACAAACAACTTTCTACACTGAAGAAGCTGCTTGGAGAAGCAGCGAAACGTATCTAACCAAAAGAAAAGAAGCCCAGATGCCATAACTCAACTTGCAGATCAGAGAACCAATGGTATAACTTGATTCCCAGATTTTTTTTAAAAAAAAAAATCTAAACAGAGGATGGTAGAATGATGGTTTCATTATTTCTTGGCAGCAAAAAACAGGCCAGCACAAGCAGGCTACAGCCAGTACTGTATGCTCTTGGCTGGTTATTGGCAATTAATTATTGGTTATTGGCTGAGCTTGTGGGCCTGTTTTTTGTCAGCAAGCAAGAACGAGACCTGTGTAAGGGAGGGGCTTGGGCAGTGATGTCACTGAGGGGCAGAGTTTTCCATAATTAAAGTTTGCCCTCCTTTGCTGTGGGAACCCCTGTGTACAATCAAAATCCATGTGGGTGAGACTAGAGTTTGGAAGAAGTTTTGGAATTCTTTTTTCCTTTCTGTCCTTTTGAAACAATGCTAAGACGCCTGTTCCCATATCCTTCCCTCTGTTGTTCAGCATTTGTGCTTAAAGGGGGTTTCACAGGGCAGAGGAAAAAGAACGTCCAGAGTCATGTGCAAACAGTCAAGAAATGAAGCACTTTTTAAGGACAACCAGTAGTCAAAGTGCAGGATATGAATGAAGGCCCATTCTTTCCCCAACTCAATATACAAAGGTGAATAATTAAAATGAAAAACAACAGATGCATCTTTAATCGGGTTTTGTGCTTAGATTGCTTTAAATATGCTTTTTCTAGTCTGGGTTTTTTTTTTTTTGGCCCCTTCCATCTCCAGCCTTGGAAAAGTAACCAACGAGTGAGAAAGCACTATCTTATCTTTCTACAAGCAGGAAAGGAAGTTTCTGCTTTGAGTGTGATTATAGGAATCACAAAGATTTCAGTTTCTAAACATTGAGCCAATGTGCTGAAAAAGGAGGTCATTTTTTGCTCTAGGAACATAACGTTTCACAACATGGATAGGATTTTCCACACTGAATGTTTCTCGGTGGGATATTTTAAGAAAAAAGCAGTTTCTGGTCCTGTAGTGGTTCATGGAACGAGATTAGAGAAGCTGGTTTGAGGTTTACAGTTTTGGTGCTTTCACAAGCTTTATTTTCACCTCCATGAGTAGCAGAAACCAGGCTAAACAATTTGAATTAAGCAAGCTCCAGAAACACAGCGTAGCCCACTTTAACCCGAGCAACATGCAGCTTTCCTGATGTTGAATCTGGACAACCGCATTGGCGAATTTGGGTGAATTTCCGCAGAATGCCCTGTCATGCTCTTATCCTTGCTATGGCTTCCTTCTGAACCACTTCCAAATTCATTTCCATCTTTTCTGGGGCCAACCTTGGTGGAGGCAGTTTAGGCATTATTTATAATTAACACCGAGCTGTGCTAGCTCAAATGTATTTGGCCCAAGGTCAGTATAAAAATTTGGTGCAGTGGAGGGAAATGATGGATTGCTAATTACTTTGAATGAGGTCTTCTACCATGCTCATTGCCTTGCCGGGTCACTTCCTATTATTACTACTTCCTACTTATCACTTATTATATTTATATGGGAGGGGAAGGGGAAGGAAGCAGAGGTGGAGGCATTCAATTAATTCTCCCAAAGCGATTTGTATTTCTAACAGGCTAGTTGACTGACAGCTGTAAATACGGCATCTTTCACAGGATTATGCAACAAATTTACAGGTGAAGTTGCCCTTGAAGATAGTTCGGAAACTTCAGTTCCTCAAAAGCGCTGCCACTGGCTGAAACTGGGGGATGTGGACATATCGTACCAGTTCATTACGATCCTTTCCAGGCCCAGTTCAAGGCACTGGTTTTAAACTATGAGCCATTCATGGCTTGGGACTGCAGAACCTGGCGCAATGCCTCTTCCCAGATGTTCCACCAGCCCCCAAGTTCATCTTCAGAGGAACTGCTGTAGGTGCCCACCCAAGTTGAAGTGTGCCAAGTAGTTACCCAGATGCAAGCCTTTATAGTGGTAGCTTGCTGACTTTGTCGATCAAATCTTTATTACAGTCAAAGACCGGCATATTGCTGACTTTGGAATCCCCTCATTTCTTCCAGCCCCATTTTTCTTCTCCTAAGGCTGTAATAGTGATGTGGTTTTCAACCTTCTGTTGCTACCCTTTCTTTGTCTTTGTTTTGCGTATTTTTTATCTCTATCTTTAAACCACCCAGGAGCCAAAATTCTCTGGGCAGATTACAATGTGGATGGCTTACACACACACTCTCTCTCTATGCATATATCTTCCAATGAGTATGTCTCAACTCCTGGTGACCACCTGGACAAGTCCCTGCAGTGTTTTTGACAAGATTTTCAGAAGTGGTTTGCCATTGCCTTCTTCCTGGGGCTGAGAGAGAAGGACTGGCGCAAGGTCACCCAGCTGGCTTCGTGCCTAAAGTGGGACTAGAACTCACGGTCTCCCTAAAGTCCAGTTGCCTTTAACCACTACACCAAACTGGCTGTCATGTAATGTTTTAGTGCATGTTTCTGATGAATTATGCTTTTAATTATTGTTATTTAATTGCAAACCATTTTCAATTTTTTTAATAAATGCCACCATGGGTGTGGGCATACTCAGGTTGAGAATGCCATGGACCTGCCCACCTTTGGGATGGGACCCCATTTCATTGGTCCTCTCCTTGAGCAAGGAATGATGAAAAGGAAGGCTAGCATTCCTTGGGTACTAACCTAAGCAGTATCAAGCCTGATTGGTGTTTAGATCTCCAGGGAGTTTCCGGACTGTAGGCAGGGCAAAGAAGTCAGAAAAAATATCCCCAAAGGTGTTAGTGGTCACCCAGTTCCAAACTGCATGCAAGAAGCTATGTGGATCTGTCCAGGAAGTCGCCTGCGGTCAAGCTTCACTTAAAGAAGACTTCATCATTTTTGTCCACAGTTTATGTGGAACCTGCCAAATCTTTGCACAATCCACGGGATTATTTTCACTAGTTTCCTTCATCACGTGATATATATGGTCACGCGCTGAATGTGGGTCTTTATAAAATCAAAGTAAGATCGTCCGTAAACCAGAGGGAGGTTGAGGCAACACAGTATTTGCAGAAACACATGTCTTGTGTTTGCAGTACACAACTTGTTTATTTTACAGTTTTTATAGTCTACCCAAATCAAAAGACTCTGGGAATCCAAATAGTATTCAACTCACTCAGGTGCATGTATGTTTGTATCATATCTAGCTATCTAACTCTGCAATTACTTTATTGCACAATCATATTTTATTTATATACATATGCCTCCTTGGGAAGGATTCTGGCCAGGCTATTTAATCCAAGAAATACTTTTTAAAAAAAGTTTCATTAATTGGGGGGATGAAGCTTGTCCAAACCCTTCTATCCATGGAGTTCTATCCCTTCTAGTTTTCTTAGAGACGAAGCTGTCTTTGTGAAGCCTTTGCAGCA